TTTCAGTGTTGTCATATGCAATGAGGTATTCCACAACCTGACAATCGGCAGGGGGAGCATTCGGTGCAGCACAAAGATCCATGTCGGTGGCAATGAGCTGAGCCACCTTTTGCGTGTAGTCCTGCAGACGTGGTCTCACTAGGTACTCCAAGGCCGAAAATTCCGGCGGATTATTGTCTAGTGAAAAAAATTGTGAGGTTTAAATAACACCACCTAAATGAAATGGTTTTGGATGCAAATCGATGATGGATAATTTATGCAATCATTTCGTATTTAATAAAGGGTTCATTCATTGAAAACTATTTATTGTGCAGACACTAAGCGAACTGCTCAGAGTAGTTTTACAAAAGGTAGACAAGGGCAGTTAGTTGCTACTGTTCTACCGTTCACTGTCCAAATCATAATACATTACTAGAAAAGAACATGTGTATCAGCTGAGAATAATGTACACTGACGTGTTACTCGTACATAAGCTTACTGTCTCCTGTTCATTTGAACTTGTGCGTGTCACCCTTTACTCACACGAAACTATGCAACTCCAAATACCTCACAGATCCGCAGCATCACTGATCTCGCAATTATCATTGCCATTATATGCAGCAGGATACGTCCCTTCCAGGTGGTAAATCCTTGCCTACAAAACCCTCCCTGTGTGTGTGTTCTGAAACCGAATTTCCTGATATTACAGTCAAAACTATCTTCCCGATGCTATGCCTTAAACAAATAGACTGGCTCGCTGCCACACTAAACCCGACTTTCGCATTGGTTATCAGAATAAAGGACGCATTAACGGCGTACACGGAAGGTCACAGGTAGGACCTTGCCTGCATGCGTTGCATCCTTGTGGTAATATCTTGGCAAATGATGATCTAAAAAGTCAAAGGGACAGAATTACAATTGCGGCAAGGCATATTGTGGATTTGTGAATTCCCAGGTATCCACATATTCCACTGGCTTGTTTTTGGAGGCTCGATACGAGAAAAGAATTCCACTCTAAGATACAGAAGCACGGGCAATAAATACTTAATTGCTTTATTTTACGAAAAGATATGAACAAAATTAAGCGAAACAAAAAATATGCTATGACGTTTGGAATTCAATGGAAAACAACGTGAATATTAAAATGCATAAGAAACCATCAGATTCGCCATAAAACTCATTGGTTTGTAGGTTTACTTGTGACAAGGGCATTGTTATTCACTATTGTTTCATTGCAGTTTAGGCTACGCAAAACCATACTGAAGTAGCAAGCGATTCATGTTACTTGCTCGTCTTTTTACACATTACTACAATCAATGAGATCAATTTTCACCGTAAAAATGATTGTGGAAAGAAATACCGACGAAGTGTCCAGTTTAATTACCGAAACGAGATTAAGTTTAAGTTACGTTTACCAGTGATCCGAGGGAGATATATTCAGGTTCAATTTCTTGTAAATATGCCTTAATGATCTGTAATCACTCACTTAAGAAGTTGGCATTTTTCAAACTGCAGCGTCTGAGGGCTTGAAATTAAGACGTTTGACGAAGTGCTTTCTTGAAATATTAACCAAAGCACTATGATATATTTCATTGGTAGTAGTCAATGCTACTGTTAAAAATTGCCCCCACTTTAAGTTCTGGTTCCAAATTATAACCATTTTTGAGCCAATCAGGAGAAGTCGGCACAATGCAATTTACATGTATTCGCCTAGTACCAATCAAAGTAGAATATTCATTGAACTGTAGCAAAAACAAACTTTTCCAAAAGAATTATTGGCTGATTTTCAGCAAATTTCTGCAAATGCAGGTAAGTAGATTTAACGACTTCAACTGTGATTAAGATAGAACCAATAACGAATTCTCATTTATCTGTGTGGATGTCCAGGTGAGTTTAACTCACATCGGTTTACATGTGCTGTTGTGACTTTTACAAGTCGGAATAATGTGGACAGATCAGGTGATAACAAACTAAAGCCTGCTTTGACCTTGTCCAGTAAGACGAGACTAAACACTTTAGTTAACAACTAAAACCACTCAGTTTAGGCCCTCTGGAAGATGACGGTGAAAATCTAGTTTGGCTTGTATTCCTATGAGGCGCAGAATCGTCATTTGCATCTACATGAACAGATGGTTTTTCGTAGTTAAATCTGATGAAAATAAATTATAGTTTAGTTCAAATAATCGAGTTACGGTAAACCAACGTCATCTAATATAAGTGGGCCAAAATAATTTGCGTGAACATGAATCACAATTTGTGTGGCTGTCACCGGTCTGCCGTGTGTCTTATCTGCAAGTAAAGGAGGAATAGCTCCGTCGCATTTATAGCATCCACTTAGGTTGAATGGATAATTATTTAACGGTTACTAATTGAGATTCAAATGATTCAACAGCCTTTTTTGTACAGCCGAAAGTTGTTAGTTCTCGCTTAATTTACCCACAAATAAGCACGTTTTAAAAAAACCACTGCTATCTTAATTATGGCATGGTTGTCTTAGCGACAAAGAACTAGACTGTAATTAATGCAAATATTAAGCCGCTCAAGTGGAGGTTTTAATAATGATCAAATGGAAAATTTGACAATGTTAAAGACCACCTCTATTGTATGCCATGTTCTATCATTGATCACTTTATGTGACCTGCGTCGACAATTCCTGCATTTAATTTCTAACTTGATGACTTGTAAGCGAGTACAAGCACATTGCCAACAGTGACCACATCTTCCAAGACAGTACATCATGTCCATTGATTTACGGGATATCTTGGGTGCCTTCCAGAGCTGGTTGGATGAGGTTAAAAGAAGTCATTTGATTTGCATCAAACCACCTTAGGGTCAACAACTTTTCCTTCCGAAAGAAGTTATGGATGTAAAGCAAATGTCCCAACTCCAAACTGTTCCAGTCACAATAGTACTCCACAAGCCTCACACGTGCTGGCGTCTTACAACAGTGCCACAACGTTGCAATGAAACCATGTTGCCAGCAGCATCTTTTCAGGAGGACAACACTTTTGCGGAGTTAATCACAGTTGTACGACATTTATTATGCACTTGTAGTAGACTGACAGCCACCTCGCGTGAGTGATGCGTGCATGAGGGCCCGAGTGGACCAATGACTCACCCCTTTTGTTATTGGCCTCTGTGAGCATTTGACTTTTACGCACGCGTACTCATGTGCCCACAAAGTCACTTGGCTGGTCGGTCGTGTTCTCCGTGTCCTCTCTTCCCCATTCTCGGGTAGTTAGGGGCCGTTAACTAGAGAGTTGTATGGTAGTGCTAAAGTCTCTAGCCGCTACATTTGATGACCCCGACGTGATTAAATCCGGCTACTACACATTTGGTTATCCCGACATGGTGAAACCACTTTAGTTTTGACGCCGTTGATTGGTGGTATCCGTCGAATTTATCACAACCCTCTCATCTGGTGACAATGAGTGACCTTATTGCTGTACACCTCTGTTTGGAAAACAGCATTTCAGTCAACTCTCTGCCGTGCTTTCCCAATGCCCGAGTTTGGCTTATGTGACTTGAGGCCCATTTTCGTAATCAGACGATTTTCTCCCAGTTCTCTAAATACTTTCATGCTGGTGCATGGCTACCGAGAGATGTTGCTGCAGACGTTATCGACTTGCTTGGAACAATGTCTTCTGAAGACCCCTTTGGAGATTTGAATGATGCTGCTCTCACACTATTGATCAGCTTGAACGAGCCTCGTCGTCGACGCCTACTTTCTCGTATCGAACTAGCTGACAGGTCTCCTTCTCAACTCCTTCGGCATATGTGGCTCTTTTTTGGGGATATCAAGGTTAGTGATTCCGTTCTATGCCAAATGTGGACTAAAACTTTCTTGGCACACGTGAACACAATCACTTCGTTCCTAAGCTCTAGCGTACATTTGGATTAGCTTACAGAAATGACTCATCCACGAATGTCTGACCCACGGAGCGCGAAATCTGGCCGTCTCCTCTGGTGTAGCAGGTAACAGGTAGCCAATCACCTACTGAGATTGGATGAATTATCATCTACACAGCCTCAACAGCGACAGCGCACCACTTCTCGTTTCCGCTAGCCAAGTCAACCCAGGAAGAGATCCGACCTACCCCTGTTACCCGTTGTCGGCTTTGCTGATTCAGTTCACTTATTGTCGAGTGTTTACTGTTTCACAGCTAACACTCTCGGCGGGTAATATTTGTAGTGGACTGACAGCCACCTCGCGTGAGTGATGCGTGCATGAGGGCCCGAGTGGACCAATGACTCACCCCTTTTGTTATTGGCCCCTGTCAGCATTCGCCTGTTAAGCACGCGTACTCATACGCCCACAAAGCCACTTTGATGGTGTGATACTAATAAACGGTCGTGTTCTCCGTCTCCTCTCTTCCCCATTCTCGGGTAGTTACGGGCTGTTAACTAGAGGGTTGTAAGGTAGTGCTATATCCCTAGCCACTACATACTTGCAGTCTCAATGCTTCTGCCATTTACGGTGAATCAAACGCAGTTCCTTCATTACAAAAAGGTTCGAAAACTGGCATTAAATCGCACAATGACCATTATGTTAACTTAATGAGAAAAACGAATTTAATGTAGAAATTGTCACCAATCTATCTTACAGGGCAGAAGCACAGAATTATGGTTATTCACGGCCCTTAGACCTGAAACCATAGAGGTGAAATGGAACTTACCCATCCATCTAGTCGGAGCTAATTCGAATGCGCGAAAACAGACGAAATGGACTTGGTAGTCGGCAGCCACATTTGGTACTTGATCACAATAAACTACGAAATCCGGTCTGCTAACGTAGCTTTGAAGTGCGACTAATGTTGCAGACTGTCTGTCCATACAGCCACATGCCTGCGCTTTGCAGAGGTCTTGGTGGAACATAAATATTGGAAGCAAAATTGTAGACCTAACATGGTTTTATGAATAAAACTAAATCTAATTGGACAATGTGCTGACCCGTCAGTAGGCCAGTGGGGCTTTTCATCATGCAAAGACACTCGTCTTTAATATTTTACGCTTTCACTGCAGCAAGGAAACATCCAGATGTAAAGTGTGCCTCTTTGTGGCCTTTTGCGTCAGTCTTCTTCAGTTAGTCAACAGTAATCCAAACACGCCGAGTTACTGCAACCGCCATAGCGTTAACATGGCACTTGTAAATGGATTTACCAGGTCTAACAAGATGTCGTGTTTAACGAAGTTAAATGTTTGCACGAACTCAAATGCGTGCAATTTATCAGCATATGTAAAACAATTACACTTGTTACTTTTCACTAATTAAATCGGCAAAAGTAAACAGATGTGTTTTCGGTTGCCTAAGCTAGCGAAATTTTCAACTTCGGTTCAAAACGCGTGAAGGATCTACCAAAGTCATTCGGAATTCGAGATTCCATCCAGCTGTAAAAAACAATCCTTATTTTTAGAATGTCGTCGTCATCAAGGAGATTATATAAGTTTATTCGAAGAGATGATCATCGACGGTGACATCAATTTCGAACGGGTTCGGCTGAAAAGCTAAGTCCACCTGAAACCACAAAGTATGACCAAAATGAAGAATGCAGATTACAATCCACTTGGTTCAAATGCCCACGACGTCCAGCTGGGCATTTAAACTGTGTCGTGGAATTTTCTTTCCATTTAGATAAGCATCGGCACAAGCGATCAATCTTACGGAACGCAAGTTGGGATTTTGGAGCGATGATGTTTAAGCGCGTCAGGGAAAACTGATTAACCTTAGAGAGCCAGTCGAACGTTTTGCCGTCTTGGATCACATAAAGAACCATTAAATGGGGGCTATTTCCTTCTCCTTGAGATGTACAGTAATCTCCTTGATGTGAGCCAATAGTCCAAAGATAGTAATAACAGTAGTTATCACTTCTTGCATGAATCGTCCAAAACCTGGTGTAGTTAGGATGGAAATTGAGGCACACTAAACACCCTCGAGTAGTTTCGATCACTGAAACCTTCTGGAAGAAATATAATTCTCCAGCCGTAGGTTATTCGCGGGAGCTGATGCAATGAGTTGTGGACAACTGAAAATTCAGCAAACGCCATTATGTGCACGCCTCATGTCAATTGGTACGCCGGAGTCTTTTTAATAACAGGCGCTGTTCATTTTAACATTTAAGGCATCCTGGCTGTAAATGCTTTGTCGTGCAAACGTGTTTTTACTTCTAACTTGTAAATACTGGGAGGAATGAATTTTAAGTCAAAATTTAATCCTGCCAATAATGCGTTTTCTCATCGGTTTGCTGTTGAAAACAAACAACCTAAATTATATGACAATTTTCTTTCTTTACATTTCAGATTAGACACTAATTACCAACAATTATGACATATTCTATATTTATCTTCTTTTTACATAAAAGTGTGTTGAAACGGTCATTTGAGACAGGGGAACCATTACGAAATGGTACGGGCTCATTGGAAACACGAAAAGCACACAATTTTGGCTTAAAAGCCCTCTTTGGAATCACAGGTCTGACCTGAACCCACAATCTTTTGAATTATTTCAAACGCTTCTTACAATAAATGCAATTTTGCAGCCATTTATATTACGTCCCTCCACACCGTTATTGGTTTTCAATAGGA